GGGGGGGGGGCCCCCCGCCGCTTCGGTGGGGGGGTCGGGAGGTCAGACGCAGCGAGCGGCTTGCGGGCTTTGCCGGTTCGTCCGAGCGCTCGCGGTGGCGAGGAGCCGCGAGCCAGGCGGACCCGGTGGCTCTTGAGGTCTCCCTGCCCTCGCTGGGGAGGGGAGTACGGGGGCAAGATTGGGAGGCGTGTATTTTTAGCGGCGTTGGCCGTAAAGCGCCGCCGTAGGGCTTCCTCTGCACTCGCAGATGGCGGTCCGCAGGGGGAAACAGCAGGCAGCAAATTTTTCTCTCCAGTGCCTTTGAAAGAGGGAGCTTTAGGGTAATTTCTGTGGAATCCTGGGGTTGCGAACAAATACTACGCGTAGCGCTACGTTAAAGGAAAGCGCGAAAACATGGTTTTTACTTCCACGTCGGTTTGAGCTAAAGAAACGCTGAACGTAGGGTACGTTACGTAGGCTAAAGCAAGAGGGAACTGTGAATTTTTAAGTCATGCCAGAGCCTGACTGAAAGCTATCGTCCCTAAAGGTTAATTACTGAGGCTATGTCCGTAGATGGTGGTAGTTTCTTTAATTCTGAGCGTGGCGTTGCTTCCTTGTCTGACGTATAGGACCTTTTCTGTTCGTGGTGTAGAAGAGAACCTGGTGGGGTACTGAAGCCCACAGAGTCCCTAATGTCTGTCTCTCAAACCGATTTTTGTACCTAGCAGAGGAAAAGATGCCTGTCCAATAAATTCATGTCACTGATATCGGGTATTGACAGCACACATTGACCTGGCTTTCTGAGGTGGACTGTTGGCTGCAGGGCTTTCTTTGTCCGTGGCGTTGTGTATCTAGGTTCCCATGGGTGACAACGCGTGACTTCCTGCCGGAAGTCGTATTAAAGGCCGAGGAGGAGCGTGGAGAGGAAAGAGGAAATCAGAAGCCAGGAATACAGAAAATTCCTGCACTCTCTCCAGGGTTTTGGGGTAGAGGAGGCTACAGCCGTGTTGTTCACGTGGGACTGCCTTGAAGCACTCATTACGAATCAGAAGAGCAGGGGCACCCAGTACTAAAGCTGGGCATGCACCCAAAGCGTGCTGAAAAGGAACGACCTTCACCGTCCGGAGTGAGCATCGGTCATAGGTCGGCTCTTAGAGCGTTAGAGCCTTCTCAAATAAGAGATCGTACAACTTCTTTCCTGGTGAAGCGCACCTAAAATCATGTTAGAGCGATCCTTGATGCACGAAGCATCCTTTAGATTGGAAAAACATTTCAAATGCTGGCACATCTCAGTTATTTCGCGGTGGTGTTATTTTGCATGCACTCTGATGAGTAGTCACAAATACGTACGTAGCGGTCACGGGCGAGTGCATGCGTGAACGTGTCTATAGCACACGAAAGACAAATTGAGACCTAACAGATATAATTCTTCTTACCACTAGGCATGCTAAGTCCTATTAGTGCTCATAACAGAGCCTCTACTGTGAGCCGGCTTGGTAAAGCAGGATGGCTTTAAGTTGCCGCTTCTGCAGCAATGCGCTCCAAATGTACCAAAAGCCCTGAATTTTGCTTTGGCTTAACGCTAGTGATTTAACAGAAAATGGTTTGGGTTATCTTAAAGCATTGCTTTGCCAAGAAATGCAAGCTAACAGATAGCCACTGTCTTTGCAGGAAGCATAAAAACATAATGTTCTGTGTGTTTTGTAGCAGTTCATTAACATGCTTCTCTAAGAACTGGGATGCTGTTGTAGAGAGAAGTGTCTTGGCGTGATGAACGCATCTATTAGTTTTGATGCTATTCAAAGCAGAAAAATAGTGGTTTTGCCAACTGGGTAAAAAAAAAAGAATCAGTCAAGTGAGAAAAAGGCTTTTTTTGTGACAAGAACCAATTTTATAAAAAACAATTTTTTTTCGTTCTCTCTTTAAAGTTATAACTGAAATGTTACCGGAAAACTGCTAAGTATGCTGGCAATTGAATATTAGGGACTTAAGCATGCTAATTGGAAGAGTAATTGAGATTTGTTTCTCACCCTGTTTAAGATCTCACTTGCAATTTGTTTTCTGCAGTTTATGTACATCCTTGGTATTTGTTTGCTGATTGAACTGACTGGTGGAGTTGTGGCACTGATCTTCAGAAATCAGGTGAGCAACTTGTTCAGATGTTCTTCACAAGACGTGAAGTTGTGGCTGCGCTACTGAGCAGGTGAAAGGTTTTAAAATTGTCGTCTGAGCCAAAATTGATGGAAGTCTAAAAGAGGAGCGTAGACTTTTCAGGGCCTTTCACCTTAGTGAAGGGTGGAATTGACCATCCGTTCTGCAAATGAATTTCAGACTGGAGAATTTGGAGAAAAATCCGTTGACTAAGAATTTGTAATACAGGCTAACTGAGTTTCCAGCTCTGAACCTATTACAAAATGCTTTCTTTTCACTTACCTTCCATGTCTCAGACTACTGATTTGGCACGTTCCCAAGTGGGGTTGGAGACTTGAGCATCATGGGAAAGAGAAAATTTGGTTTATAGTAAATAAATATTTGGCTTTTACTTAGTTTTCTGAGAGGGTGAGGAAAAATTGCTTTTGACTGTCTTACAAGAAAACGTATATATATATATTTTAATGCATTCGGTGGTTTCCTGACGCCTCTCTTGGCTGTCTTGGCAGGGTAGCTATGCTCAGGGTTCAGTGCTTTGTTTGTTTTATGGGGTTGATGGAAAGTTAGGGTTAGTATGGGGAGGAGGAGGAAGTAATTCACAGAAGCTTGAAGTAATAGCCTGCATTTAAATGCCGGTGGTTCTGCATGTCTCACTGGGTTTTTTTCCATTTCCTTCTGTTACTTCCTCCTTCGGTCTAGGAAATTCTGTTACTGTTCTTTGAGTCGTGCTTATCGCAAGGACTATCTCTCAGGGGCACGTATTTTCCAAGAAAACGTTGTCTGTGTGTCTGCTGTGGCGCGCAGCTTGCCCGCTTGCCTGAATGCGTGACTAAGAATCGAATGTGTTACGGCAGGTAGTACTCCCAGCGCCGCGTGGGTATTTGCGAAAGGATTAGCAGTCTTATTCACGCGTACTCGCTACTCTTGCTCGCTTTACGGTTTTTGACTTGTGACTTGAAAATGCCGATGCGGAACGGGTGCTTCTGCCCCTTTCCCTTAAAGCAGTAGTTATTGTGCCTCTGAGATGCTCGTACGTAAGTTACGTCGCGCTGAGCTGCCTGTTCACTCCTCCTCTTCCTGAACCTGGTGAGACAACCGTGTAAGCTAATACGCCAAGGATGGGTGTCGAGCCTAAAAGAGGCAAAACCAGGCTCTACTTACTGCTGTTCCTTCTTTCGTGGTATGATGGAGCTGCACAATTCTTCATTGTTTCTGATGTTTCTTATGATAGCCATGTATTTCTTTTGTTTATCTTTTTTTTTTTTTAATCTTCTAGTATAGTGATGTTAAATACACGTTTCTGGTGTCTTTTTGATCTGTAAGGATCTATCTAGCTTTGCTCCTTAATTCAAGCAGCCTTATTGGAAGGAAAGTTGTTACGTTCTGGTAATGATTAGTCCCATTTTTGGTTGGTTATGATTTTACTGGATATTGGAAAGAACATACTGCTTTTTTTCCTCGTGTCATGAACTTTTATAACATTTTATGATTTAATTTTCAATATGCTAAGCTGAGGAAACGCCTTGCTGTATCTGCTCCCATTCTGCTGCCATATTTCTCAAAATCAGGACTGTAAAGCGTACAGATAGGAAATCTTTTTCTCTTTTTTCTGCTGAAGCTGAAGTAAAGCTCTTGATCCGGCAGTTATGGACTCCTCAGAAAATAAAATGTTGTATGATTTGTTGGCACAAGATTCAGGTTCTTGCTGCTGAAGACTGTGAACGGTAAGGAAAGAGCTGTAATTCTTTTAGTGGAGTAGGAAAAACTTTTTTATTAGTAAAACAGAGGATTTTCTAAAGGCAGTTAGACTGGGCAGTGAATGGAGACGAGCACCGGCACACTGCGTGTCACTGGAGAGGAGCGCTCAGCTTGCTTTTAATGACGTTTGGGTCCAGGCAATGGCCGAGAGCGGGAGCCCGAATGTGCCTGCAGAGGTTTTAATTCGTGAATGATGGGGGGCAGCGAGCCAGGGGGGCTTGTACCTCCTTCGGGCTTGCCCGTGGGAGTAAGCCAAGCCACCCAAAGACCCACCACCCAAACTTGGCCTTTCGTGACTTAAAAAGGTGAGTTTTTTTGCCCACACGTGCCCGTGCTCGGCGGAGCCCGCGTGTCCTGTTGGCACCATCTCTGTGGACAGCTGCGAGACTCCCGGCGGACCGGGAGTCGCTTTAACCTGTTCTTTAATGTCCTTTCAGCATACCTAGCTCATGAATCTTATTTTAATTTGTCTTCTAGACAATCGACTTTCTGAACGATAACATAAGAAGAGGAATTGAGAATTACTACGATGATTTAGACTTCAAGAACATAATGGACTTTGTTCAAAAGAAGGTTGGTTTTTCTGGCAATAATTTAGCTGCAAGCGGCGCTGAGAGGCGGTAGGTCCTCAGTGACAGCTTGGAGCTTTTCCAGCGATGCGATGGTCAAATTCTTGTTGACGAGGGGGATCCGACCGCGTGTGTCCTCTGCTGCGGAGCCGCGGCGGGCAGGGCTCCGGTCGGCTTCCCGCCGGCGCCCTTCCCGCCGGCGCCTGAAGCCCTCCAACTCCCTGCAAAAAGGGAGTACAACGCGCGGCTCTTGCCGTGGTAGACGTGATTCAGATCCAGCGTAGAGTCCACCTAAGTTCCCGTGCTTCGTGCTTCTGTTGGCTGGTCCTAGACTTTTGAAAGCGTATAACGAACAGGAAATTCTGGATAAAGAGAAATTATGTGGAGATTGGACTGACTGAGCCTGGGCCTTTGTATTTTTACTCAAGGGCGCATAGCAAACTCTTCAGTAAGGCCTTTATTCAAATGATGTGCTCTTGGAAGCATACGTACCTGCAGCTGAAATTCAGGAATTACGTTGAACGCAGCTGAATATTACTTAATAGCACGTGTGGTTGACTCATAGCCCTTTTTTTTTTTTAAGGCTGCTGTGTTGAAATGTTTATTGGATTACTTAAGGGTTCTGCCATACAGTTCAGAGACTATAGAAGAAGCAGCAAATGTCCAGAAGTGTGCTCACAGTATCCTTATGATGTGAGTAACTGTGCCAAATAATTAAAAAAAAAAAAAATTGGCTAGGATATGGTATGTACATTTTATGACATCATTATGGAAATGGCAGCCTGCTTTGAAAAACAAAGTTAACATGGGAAGTCTGTCAAAAACAAACCATCCTGAGGAAATTTTGTCATTATACTTTATAAAGTTTTAAAGTTTCCATGCACTCCCAGAAATTATGTGCCTATAAAGCAGATACAAATGTTAGTGATTAAACCAGCTCCTGCGTTCCCCCTTCGTTTAGAAATATAAGTTGAATATTTGTATTAAGGTAGTGTAAACTTACGGCGTTTGTTTGCCTGATCTCAATTCTACTAATGAAGTTGTACTGAAAATATTCTGTTTTTTTTTTTTTTCATGCCTTGCACGAACACTTTCATGAATTAGAGTCATTTGTTTGAAGAAACGTAGTCAGAACCCTTAAAAACTTGAAAGGGTACATTACAACTCAAGACTGATCGAATCTAAAACATCTTTTTAGTAATCTCGAGATCTGAAAAGATATTTTTCCCGGCTCTGAAAAGCTTGGAGGTGGAACTTCGTACGAAGTGCTTTGCTCTGATGCCTTGTGTCATGCCTTAATGGGTGCCAGAGGAACATCACCTACGTCTTCCCTTCTTTTCAATGCTACCGCTTCTTGGGTGCAGTTGCAGCGCTCGTGCTCCGGAGGAGGAGAGCCGCTGCTCTCTCACGCGAAGGCCCACGTAAAGGAGTTGCCTGCGCGTGGAGGTGCAGCTGAACCCGTCAGCCACGTAGAGTTACGCTGGCCTCAGCCGTACTTCTCTCTCGGATATTTCCTGTGCTAGATACCAATTCGGTCTCTCCCCGCCCTTTTTATTTGTCGTGAACGTAAAAGCATTCCTTTGGATACGGTTTTATACAAGCTACGATATTAAACAACTTCTGTGTTTGTGGTGAGAGCCCTTTCTTGTGGAGTTTGCACCGATCCCTGTACTTTGACCGATTCGATAAACCGTCGGGGAGACTTAGATATTTGTTGCTTGATCTAACGAGAAAGTCTGTTTTCCCCTTTCTTACGTATTTTGTCTGTAAATGTGGATATACTTTAGTAACGCGTTCATGTATGCCTCACCCGATGCAACAAGAGACTTGCTGGGTAGGTGCCTCCTTCCTCGGTGTTGTTAAAATCCCTAATTTTATTCGTGATTTGTTCTCCAGTTAATAGAAGAGTTTCTGCCAAGGATACGACTTCTTTGTCTTTTGCGGTGTTTTCCAGTTCAAGTGCTGCGGCGGGGAAGACTTTAAAGACTGGTCGCAGAACGCGTACCACGACTGTGCCGCGCCGGGACCGCTAGCCTGCGGAGTGCCCTACAGTTGCTGCGTCAGAAATAAGGCAAGCCTCGTCTCCTGTGCCCCTGGGTAGCTCCCACGTTTTATGCTGAATCCCCGCAGCTGCTTTTTCAAACATCACCTCCGCGCGGCGAATGCCTTTTTGGGATCCCGGCTTGGTCATGCAGCAGCGGCCTCTCGGCCCATCTCGAGGAGGTGATGCCACATCACCTTCTGCAACGGGTCACGTTTAACGCCTAGAAGCTCATTTCCGTAATGGTGGAGAACCTGCTGGTGCCTGTTAGGTGCCATCCTTTCAGTGCGTGCCTTAAGCTTTGCTTTTATTTTAACCCTCCCCCCCCCAAAAAAAAAAAAAAAAAGGCATAATCTCAGAAATCCTGCAAGATGTTGCTGGGGAAAAAGGTGTTTTATGTTCTATGAAAGTGATTATTATATATGCCTGCACGTTTTTGTGTGTGAGAGGAAGTCTGTTTAAATCTGTGCTGAGGTCTGATTTATTCTCAGAAACCAAAGCTAAATAGTTAAGCTTTAAACCTTAGGTGTTTGAGAGTAAGAAAACCGTGCGCCTGAAGATACTTTGTGCTGATGCTCAGCTGCACTAAGCTAGCTGAACAGTTCGGGGTTTTGCCCCATCAATTGGTGGTACAGGAAAATAGTGATGACTAGTGAAGAGCAATCTGGCTTTTTAATGGTGATTCAAAATAGTGCTTGTTTTCCTGAATCTCACGTTTCTCTGTCGAAGCCTTGTTTCCAAACCTTGCTTCTTTCCTGTGTTTGGAAATACAGCACTATGTGAAGGCAACTTCTGTATCAGTCAGCAGTCGTCACTGCTACAGAAGAGTTTCCTCCAAAATTATCTGGTCCAGGTTTTGGTATGTTTGTGTTTCTTACTTAACGCAAGTATTCGAGCAATAGATTTTTTTTTCTAACAGAACATGTGTTTGCAGGAGGCACTTGGGGAGTTGTGTCGGCAACAAATGGTTTCTTCTCATTTCTCTAAGGAACAGAAATAATTGCAGGTGCCTTTTCAGACGTGTCACAAGCAACACATTGCGAATTGCAAATGCAACCAAGCAGGCAGGAAAACTTTAAAATAAAGAGCTTCTCTGAGAAAAAAACGGGGAATGTATCGTCTGTATATAAGGAGGAGGGGATGCCTATGCAGCCCCCCGTGGATTCGGCGGGGGGGCGTGCCCGCCACGGCTGTCCAACCAGCTGCCTTTAAAAAAAAATTTAAAAATAAATAAAAAAAATCACAAGATGAATAAATCTTGTATGTTTGACAAGTGCTTCCAAATACAGGCTGGTTTCTGTCCTGGAAAACTGCAGATAGAGCTTGTAATTACTCATGCACTTTACAGTCATGGAAAACTCCTGCTAATGTGGGAGGGTTGGATTCTGCTCCTCTTAAGAAAGCTTGTGTTGTTAAGAGCCAGATTCGGATCACACTTCTGTTGAGGAGGGGTCCGAAGGAATTATGCAATGCGTTTCTCCTGGTCTTGTGGGCCGATTGCAAGCTGAAGGTGAGAGCCTAGATTTTGGGTTCTTGAAAAAAAAAAAAAAAAAAAAGACCCTGACTAATGTTTTTGCCGTTTCGTTGAGGATTTTCTTAATACAAATACGTATTCCTATACGTATGTACGCGAGGGCGTAATCTGAAGCTTCGCCGTGGATCTCCAGTGTCTGAATGAAAGTCCAGAATCTGTGCTTCGGGATGAACGCCGCCTTATATCGCGTCTGCGCCGTGCTGGGTGAAGGGATACGGGGTTTGTGTCAGAGCTCTGAATTGCTGACCTTTCGGGAGGTGTCCCGCACCCTCTCCGAAAGAGGAGAAATGGCGCTTCTGCACCGCGTTGTCGTTTGGAGGGAGCGCGTGTCGCTGGGGTAGCTCTTGCTGCGCCCCGTTTGCATTTGCGCGCGCTCATTTGCTTCCGTATCTTCTGCTCTTTAACTTGGTCGTTGCTTCAGCTGATGCTGGTGGGCCTTAGAGTCGTGGATTTGTAAAGGAAGGATAGCGTTTTTAGGTTAGCCGTGACAAGCCTCCAGAAGGTCAAGACCCCCACCAAAATATTAAATCCCTATGGGAAACGTTTTAGTAGTCCGTGATAAATGCAAACGCTCTTTTTTTTCTTGCACAATGTTTACCGAAGCATTTGTAGTAGCAGACATTGTTTGGGTCCCAGCTATTTCAGCGTTTAAAGTTGTCGCCATAACAGAATGATGGCCTTGTTAATCTGTGGGTTTTCCTAATACGCTGCGTTAAGTCGTTAAAGGCCTCAAAATTAAAACTAGCTGCTTGTTTTTTGGCACCTAAAGCGTTATGAATTCTCCAATGTGCTTTTGTTCTCTGCAGTATCCCAAATGGATTTACCAGTGAGTTTGCTCATTAGGCGGTTTTGGCCGGGAGGAGATGGAGTTGTTCAAGCCGCAGAAGCAGCCTTGTTGCGCCAAATTCCCTGTGCTCAGCAGCAAGAGAAAGCGCTCCACTTTGCTGCACGTGTCCTAGGGGTAACTTGCATCACCCGGCAGATAGCGATTGCTTTTATAGTGTAATTAAATCACGCCGTGCAGACGATGTAGTCGTCGCGTTTGTTCTCTTCCCTCTCTCTGGGAAGTTGGGGTGTGCTTATATGGCCAAGCAACGCTAGGGAGAGTCACCCAAGCTAGTTGCACACTGCTAGCAGGATGATGATGATGATGATGAAGGCTGGTAGTGCAGTCCCGGTGCTGTGTCGTGCTTCTCAGCTTTGGTTAAAAGGCTCTGGTGCATAGTTGTGTCGCAGTTGGTGTTGCTTCCCGACCCAACGCCGCCATGTTCCGACTGTCTCGTGTCGTGACGCGGTTACTGGCAATAGCGAGTGCTCTGAAACGGCGCAGGGCTCCCTCCGAGTCTGGCCGTGGGGGTCCCGGAGCAGGCTCCCAGCGCTCCCCATTAGAAGGGTTTTTCGGCTTTTCCCAGCGGTTGGTTTTGACGCAGCCGGGTCACCGTGTACGCAGGGGCTGCACCACCTTATCTGCCAGGCGTCTGTCACCTCCAGGGAAACGTGGAATAACTGGGGCTGGAAAGGGACCCTTGGAGGTCCCTGGGTCCAGCCGTGTCCTTCAGCACTAGCGTGCCCGTTCGCATTGTCCTTTCGCTGCGTTTTCATCCTCGCTTTGTGTGGTCTTGCCTTGGTGGCCCGTCATTTTCTTTACTCCTTGTGCTCACTCCTCTTCCTGATGGACAGTAACCGTATCCGTTACCTGGCTGCTGTTTGACTAATTTTTTTTTCCCTTGTGGCCCATTTCACGGTCCTGGTGGTAGTCTTTTATGCCTTAAATTGTCCCTGTTTGCACAGTTCTCTTGTTTTTGTGCCCTGAAATCTGACGTGGAGACTGTGCGTACGTCCCAACCTGTCAGCCCTCGTAAACATGGTATGGAAACAAACACATGCAACCGAGTTCCTTAAACATGTGCTGTGTTTTGGTGACAGGCTGGCAAGCGACTCACAGCTGGGTGAGCAAATGAAGAATGTAACCTACTGTTTTCTGTGCTTTTTGGTTTTTTGCAATATTTCGTATCTGCTTTCTTTTCAGACGGACATCATCAACACTATGTGTGGATACAAAACTCTTGACCAAGAGGTAACGTAGCCAGCATGCGCCCTGTAACGGTAAAGCGATGTGCTTCTCCGAATTCTTTCTGTCCGTTACCAAATAGACTTCTGCATGCTTAAAGCTGAAGTAATCGTTATTCTAGATTTGATCTGGAATAACTCTGTTTAAAAAAAAAGAAAAAAAAAGAGCCATATTTGATGGTGAAACGTTCTCCTCCGTATCTTCCCCGACCCCTTGTTTGACGTGCGTGAAGATCCCTCTCTAAAGATCACCCCCCTTGCAGCAGTTGCGGTTAACGTGAAGCAAGAAACTCCAGTACTTAATGTAGTCACTTGAGTTGGGGAAAGCTTTTAAGGAAGCCAAGGCCTCTCTCTAAGTAAAATTCAGTTTCTGTGGAGCCAGCTTGGTTGTTTTTAAGTCTTTCACATCCTGTAGCGGGTATTCTCTTTTTAGGTCTCTAGTATTTACGGCTGGAAGAGGGATGGGACTTCCCAGTTGCTGCTGGCGGGCTCCTGGTCCCTTCAGGAGCAGGATGCGGCCTCGTTCTTTGGTTTTTACTCTTGGGAACAGCCCCGGTGACTCCGGAGTAGAGACTGCTGGCTCAGGGCACTAATTGTGGCGTGATTAAGCACAGAAATCGGTAATTTGATCTGCCACAGTTCTCCACTCCGCGCTTTGTACTCCTAGTGCAGGGAGTGAAGTTGCTGTTGGCCTAAAAGCCCCTCTTCCCTGCTCGTTTGAGGCACTCGGCGCACAATGCCCGTTTCAGTTGTTAGTGTTTTGGATTACCGGTTATCTTTACATATGACCTGTCTTCATTCAGATTCACTGATTTATGCCTTAATCACCTAAATGCCCCGGTCTGGCTCCAACGCACAAAGCGCTCAAGCATACGCTTAACTTGACCCCATTCATCTACTTGGGACTATTTGCAGACTCGAGTGCTTTGCATGTTATTGGTTGGGGTCACAGTGCATTGCAGCTTGCAGGACTGAATCTTGAATCCCCTTGTCCCTAACCTCCTCTAGTGTGTTGCAGGGCCCTTTGTCGACGATTCATGTTTTTCCACTGCTGCAGTTCCAGCCTGGAACTGAAGATAAAAGCTAACGAGGGACTTCTGTGTTTTCCGTGCGGCCCAAGATCAGAATCAGGCCTGTTTCTTTTTAGGAAGGTAGTAGAAAGAGAAGAAACTGTAAAAGTAGCTTGTTTGGATGTGGGAGAGCTGAGGGACGGACTGAAGAACTGGCGATGAGGTTTCTGTCGGAGCCGGCGGGTTTGGAGAGGTGTGAAGGGCGACTGAATTTGGCTCCCTGAGTTCTGCGTTACCGTCTGTCGTACTTGCAGCGTAACTTGTGTTTTAATGTGTTCTTTTACAGCGTCTGAGTGTTTAGCAGGTCATATATGTCCGAGGATGCAAAAATGCAGTGCTTATTTGGTTTTTAGACAACTACAGCATCATGGCTGGTGTCCTGCTTGGCATATTGTTACCACAGGTAAGGCCAGGCCAGTACGTCACGCTTTAAGGGAAGCCGCTGCCTTGTTGCCGTGGCAGGCAAAATCCCATTTGGCTGTAATTAATTACGGTTTTTATTTAAATTTAACGTAACTCGTAAGTTATGTTATCAGTGGCACGCCATCGGTTTAGTAGCAGTACTGCAAAACCTTGCCGTATCTGGTGGTTTTCTCTTTTGGTGTTTGCTTTGTTTTGTTGTTTTAAACCATCTCCTCCCCCTAGTTGAGCGCACTAAGACTTTCTGCTGCTCGAGGAGGCGGAGGTGATAGGTTTTTGCTGTGTTAGCTGACGGCAGACGTGTTTCGTTCATACCCCCGTGTACAAAATGCCCGTCAGAAGGAGTAAGCGGGTGAGACTGTGTCGGCGTGTCTACCACCTAGGTGCCCACGTATCCCCTGCACGTCTCCGTGAGCTGTAAAAACCGTGCTGTACGAAGTTTGGGACAAGGGGTATTCGCTCTGCGGTTCAGAGATGCCTTTTGGGTTTTGCAGTTCCTTGGAGTGCTGCTGTCTTTGCTCTACATAACTCGGGTAGAAGACATCATCGCTGAGCACAAGCTTGGTGAAAGACTGTTTGAAGGAGCGTGGCAGAGGTCCGAGCCGGAGTTTGCTGGAGCGGGCTGCTGTATGTGTTATCCCGGCTGACTTCGGAGACCTTAAGAAGCGAGTCGACCTGTCCTGGTTGGTACCTGCTTCTGCAGCTCTGGCAGGCTACGGGTGTAATTAATCTGCGCTAACCCTTTCAAGAACAGGACACCAAAAGCAGCGTCTGGACTCTCTCTCCCTTGGGATCTTTTTAACGCCCTCGCGGTCGTTTTGGCAGAGCGATGCTGCCCGCGGCCGGCCCGCGTCTCCCCGGGGAGCCCCGTCGGCTCCTCCGTAACTAGATGTTTTCCCCAGTGATCGCTGAATGATGCGCGCTAAGGAAAGCTGCTGCCGGGGAGGATTTCCAGTTAGGTTTCGAGAAAAGAGCCTTCGCGTCTTGGTATGCCCTGTTCAAACGTTTGCCCTTGCAAGTTTTATTTTCCGGCTGGTTGCAAAACAGAAGAGCGGCTCCTTACTAATCAAAGTGGTAAATACTAAACGTGTGATAATTTTTTTTACGCTAATCTCGATTGATCTGCTGACAATGATGGATGTACCGCTGAACACTTTCGTCGCTCAGTCTTTTGTGCCTTTTGATGATGGGGCAAATGCCAGTGTTGAATCGGTCAGGTAATGCTTTGATACGTTTTTAATGCAAATTATTACTGTTTGGCTTTTGTATAAGAGTTATGGGATGTTTGTGTCTTCTATGGATTGTATTTTCCTCTTGAGTAAATTGCCTAGCCAATGTATTGATTGTGG